TTTGCGAAAACCGGACTCCTAGGAGGCGCCTAGTGGTCCGTGGTGTTAGTGTAGTCTAGAAGGGAGCATGGTTGAGCTAACTAGGCCGGATGCGACGCCTTAGAGGTGCCTTGTGGTCGTGGATAGTTAGTCAACCCTCCATTCGTGACGCCTTGGAGGTGCCTTGGGTCGGATTACACTAACGGTTTTGGAAGTTGAAACGGAAATGTTTTGGAAAATGGGGAGTAACATTTGCATATTACACTTCATGACATTGTGGTTAACTTGTGATTGGGTGGTATTTGCTACATACTTGTTATTGTATTTGAGAGTGTGTGTTTCCTTATAGCATGATCCCTTTCACTTTTTATCTATTCATTGTATGGATTCACGGGGATATAAGAGTGTGTCTTAGACACTTCCTACTGAGTTTATGCTCACCCCATTATTTCTAACATTTTTCAGGACATGGAAAAGAGGTGGCGGACGACGATCCACCACGATTTTAGACGAGCACGGAGACCTATTTCATTTTTTTTGCTATTTTTTGTATTAAAACTCTCTAATATTTTGTAAATGTAATATTAACTAACTCGTAAAACTTTAGTTTAATTAGTATAATGTTGTAAGCCATGGACTTTTAAATTCTAACTACGCTTTTCGGACTGTAACTTGATGTAACCAAAGTATGTTCCTTGTTGGATGAGATGGAGGAATAGGATTTTGTATGTATGTAGTTACTTTGGAGATGTGATATAATATATGTATATTGCGTTGGGACAGAATATGTGTGATACCCCTCGATTCTAGAGCCACGGGTGATCAAGTCCGAGCACAGATCCGAGGGATATCAGACAATTAATATATAAACAAGCAAGAATAAAACTGAATTAATAATAAAATAATGATACGCTGAAAAGAATTCTAATTGTAAAACCTCCAAAATAAAAGTTTTAATATAAATAAACTTTCCAATCTATACAACTCGGGAATCCATCTAGTGGACCCCTAATATTTCCAACTGGTAAAACATTTACAGAATTAAAATCCAAAACCAAAATAAGAAAGAAAATCCTATGTAGTCGGAAGAGTGAGTGACTGTATCTGCATCCCCACGATCAAACCCTAAACCTGGTACTCACGAACACCTGAAAAATAAAGGTGGGTCAGGCCCACATGCAAGTTCCATCCTACTACAATCCGTACATAAACCCGATACGCAGATACATCCTAGATAGCTCGACAATATCTACAATAGTCCATAGATATATATATACACACTATAGGATGCTCACTAGCCTATAACATAGTTCAGCCTGGGTAGAAGGTGACATATAAAATACGCTTTTCAGCGGCCAAGTACCTAGACCCACCAGGGAACATTAGCTATATCTAGCTACTCAACCTTTGCAATATACGCACCCTAACCGTGATCAGGAGACTCAAGCTCGTATCACAGTACCATAAATATATATATAAATTCCTTCCTAATGCCGAAAGATAAAACAAGCATCCATTATGTCGTTCAACTGTTTTAGTTGACAGGACATGTATCCATGTAGGAGTTAACTATTTTAGTTAATCCATTCCGTATGTAAGAAGGGGTAGGACTTAGCTTTTTGATCTAATCCATCCCTGATATGTCACCGTCCCATACCGGTACATATAATGCAAATGATCCATAAACGATGCACATTCATTAGAACATCAAATAAATCCAGAAACCAGCACAATAGAAAGCAGATATTATTAAGATCCTATTATGCATCCAGTATATGATTATAATCATTAATCCTCCAAATAAATTGTTAAAGTATTGATAAACAATTTATATTATCCACATCCATACAATTGATAAAACAGAAGTTAAACAGTTCATCAATTAACATCCATAACCTGTTATAATGATCAGTCAGAAATATGAACTAAATACATTATACTAGATATCCCAAACCATCCTCTCATACCATATTATTTAAATTGCCAAAACAAAGACAAGTAATGAAATCCTCCATAAATCCTTAACAGCATAAAAGTTAGCATTTACACCACATGACGTCCCTTTGATCCTCCACTCAAAACCTGTGCCTGATATAATATGACACTCTGAATTCCAAATTGCTCATTATATGAAACCCCAACTGTATTCCCATACTAGTCCATTTAGTTCGCTAAACCAAAACTAGCAACTAAAATTCCTACCACTCCTGACAGCATACCATTTAATATCTAAGTTAATACTGTCTATGCCCATATCTTACACCGAACTTTCTGGCCTCCATTAAAGTATATAAATAATTTATATAACATCCCAAAAGTAATTCGATACCAGTCAGTTTAAGTTATTAAAACAAACTTATTAACTTAAACATTCATCCTTCCTTGACAGCATGCCTATTCCATGTTTTTGTTTCCTGATGCCCCTTAAGATTAGCATCCTAGCTTAAACCAACTATTTAAGGGTCTTAATAGGTTAATTTTAACATATTTGAAACCCCCTTTAATTTTCAGTATTTGCATTTAACCCCAGAACTCCGAAAAAATTACAGAAAACACCCCGTAGGGGTTTTTTTCCCACGGGAGCCGGCTCCCCTTTATTGGAGCCGGCTCCTAGGCTTCTAGAGCCGGCTCTCCCTCATGGAGAGCCGGCTCTCTCTTCATGGGAGCCGGCTCCCACCATTTAGGAGCCGGCTCTCACCCCTGAGAGCCCCTCTGCATCGTCTCTACTTCGTCCGATGATTTTTCTGCGTTTCCGGCGAAGTCCGACGTTCCTGTCCTAAGTATTTTAACATTCCTAAGGTTCAATTTAAATTCTTAAAGCCCTAGAAACTTCTCACCATCCAGCATGCATTAATTGACAAAAATCTAAAACAAAACAAAACCGTATCCACAAACGCCAATCATAGTTAACTGAATGTATGAACAATCTAAAGTCTGATTACATGTGTCAAAATTCCATTATAAAGGTTAACTAACTTCCTAACCATCCTAACAACACCTCACATTGCATTATGAATTAATTTACAGAGATTTAATACATAATCTAACAATTTATGCAAGGGAAGCCATCTGCAGTTAGTATACGGTTAACCAAATTTCAGACTAAACTAATATGCATAAAATTTGTTTTAAAAGTTTTAATTAAATTCCTGGAGTCTATTTAGAATGCACAGAACACAAGTTTACAGGAAGGAGAGAATGAAACTTGCCTTTAGATTTCGTTTTGAAACCTTACAGCCGCATCGTCTCTAAGTTTCAGAATTCTCTTATACTGCTCCCACCTCTGACCATTGTTCCATTCCTCTGTTCTTCCTCCTTAGCTTCATAGATTAATACTACGTGAATAATGTTTTATTTTAACCCTTGCAGACTACACAAGAATATACACATTGAAGTGTATACAACCCTCTCTATGTATCTCTGTTTTTCCTCTTAAATTACCCCTACGTGAATAGGGTTTTCTCCCAAAAACCCTTGCAGCATATATTGTTATATATATATAGACTCCTCTGAAACCCAAATCCCAAATCCAGTAATCCTAACCCTAAGTCCAGCCCAACTACAAGTCGGCTACCTAATTACTTAATCATAACACCCTAAACCTAATTAAGGAAAATAAATAAATAATTAATTTAAAATACCAATTCAATTAAACAATTAATTTAAAACCAATAAACAAGTAAAATAAATCAATTAATCTAAAACAAATAATTCACACTTAATCAATTAAACAAACCAATCCACTATATAACAATTAAATTAAATACACACAAAATAATAATAAATCAACTAATTTAACGAAATAACAAATAAGTCCAATAATTTAAATAAAAATGAAAAACAAACCAAAATATTCCCATTTTATCCTTTTGAAAACTAGGGGTATTACAATATGTTAGATTTAAGGCCCAGTGAGGCCATTGTATTTATTTTTTTTGTATTTCAACAGGTTGTTTAGAGACATTTTCTGCGGAGGTCATGCCGAATTTTTTATAGATTTATATTATTATTTTGGTATCCTTTTGGGTCGTTACAAATTTGGTATCAGAGCAATGGTTCGAATACCATTAGGACGACGGGTAGAGGCCTACCTAGGATTGCATGGGGAGTTGAGTTATTTGCTTACTTGCTTAATTGTTTACGTGATGGCATACTTATATGCTTATGTGTTAAGGTGCTTAATTATTTGAATTACATGCTTATTTGTTTAACTGCTTATATGATTACGTGCTAAGTGTTTAATGTTATTGTATATGATTAGCATGATCATGTTTATCATTAGTTGGGTATTCTGGGACTATGAAAGGTGCTTATGTGTTTCCATTCTTGTCAAGTCATTCGTGTGAGGACTTCGTTCTCGTGCGTATTTTAGTGCCATCGTTTTTGATCTGTTTCCTTTTTCTTATAGCGTCATGGCAACACGAAGGGATCCCGGGGAAAGTTCTAGCTCCAATCCCGTGGAAAGGGATCAGGAGCAAGTTGAGGAAGATATCTTGCTGCGTGATTTGGTCCCACCAAGAGGGGGACAAGCGAGGGGGACTGTTGATCCACCTTTTCAGATGAATAGGGAACAAATTAGGTTAGCCATTCAAGAGGCTATTTTTGATGCATATCGACCGACAGGTGCGTCATCATTACAGTTTGTGCCACCACCGGCTCCACCACCACCACCTCCGAAGACAAATGAGCTAGATGATACTCTTTCTCACATTGCCAGGTTCGTGAAGTTGATGCCAACCTTGTTTGAGGGTGGTTCAGATCCGCTTGTTGCGGACGGTTTCCTGGATAGGGTGGAGAAGCATATTAATGCCATGAATTTGGCAACGGACAAGTTGAAGATCACATTGGCGACTTACAATTTTGTAGGCGATGCTGAGATTTGGTGGAAGACCGTTTCTCACATCCATAATCTGGATACTATGACATATGCTACATTCAAGAAGTTGTATTATGAGAAGTACTTTCCAGCGCCTAAGCGGAGGGAACTAAAGAAGGAGTTTGATGGGTTAAAGTAAGGAAGTATGACAGTTACAGAGTATGAAAATAAGTTTACATCACTTTTGAGGTTTGCATCGGGAATTGCTAATGATGAAGAAGGAAAGATAGAGAAATTTGTTGATGGCCTTGATCTTACCATTAGGCCAATTATAGCTACTTCAGAACCGACAGAGTATGCAAAAGCAGTGCGAAAGGCTTTAGTGGTTAAGGCTGAGAGTAAGGACAACAAGGCTATCAAGGAGTCCTACAAGCATAACAGGGGTATGAGTACTTTCTCTGAAGGTCAATCAAGTAAGAAGCAGAAGCATGAGCAGTCAGGGTTCAGGGGACAGCAGCCAGTTAGATTTGCACCTACAGCTTCTGTGTCCATGGGGTCTTCTAGACCAAATGTTACTTGTTTAAGATGCGGGCAGTTGGGACATTACAAGTCCCAATGCACTCAGACACAGGTAGCTCGGATGATTTGTTTCAAGTGTGGGCAGCCAGGGCATCACAAGTCCCAGTGTATTCAGATTTAGGTGGCGTCTGGTGGATGTTTCGGGTATGGCCAACAGGGCCATATGGTGAAAGAATGTCCACAGCGGGGCAGTGGTTTGGGCAGAGGTGGAGGTTCACAGCAGAGGCAGATGCAGTCTGCCACAGTTCAGTCAGGGTTTCGACCACCACCACCACCTCAGCTGTCTCAGCCAGCTATGTCAGCCCAGAGTTCTTGACTTGGTAGGGGAGCTTCTTCGAGTGCACCTACTCAGCAGTCTGGCTATCAGGCAGGCAGTTCCCAGGGGCAGAGGACCCAGGGTCGCGTGTTTGCACTCACTCCAGTCGAGTCACCATCCAGTCCTTCAGTTGTTAGGGGTATGTTTCTTGTGTCCCATTCTTGGGCTCGTGTATTATTTGATTCTGGTGCTTCTTATTCATTCATTGCTTCATCATTTGCATGGGCATTGGGTTTAGAGGTCAGTCAGTTGGACAGACCGCTTTGTGTTGACACGCCTATCGGGGGTTCAGTTGCTCTTAGTAGAGTTTGTAGGAGTTATTCCATCACAATTGCCGGACGTGTTCTTGAGTTCAATCTCATCCTTCTCGAGATGACGGGATTTGATGTCATTCTTGGGATGGACTGGTTGTCATCCTTCAGAGCTGTCATTGATTGTTTCAGGGGTAAAGTTTCAGTGTGTACCCCGGATGGGGATTGTTTCTGTTTTGTGGGAGATCGGTGTGATCCTCTCACTCATTCATTTTATGGTGTTAGGGGTCGAGATCGGCAGACATTCTTCTTGGCTAGTCTTTTCGCCGATGATGACGTTGAGTTTTATGGGGTTGATTATCTAGCAGTTGTGCGTGATTTTCTGGATGTGTTTCCGGAGGACTTGACTGAGTTGCCTCCACACCGAGAGGTGGAATTTGCTATTGATTTGATGCTTGGTACCGCACCAATCTCTATGGCACCGTATCGTATGGCATCGATTGAATTAGAAGAATTGAAGAAGCAACTTGATGATTTGAGGATGAAAGGCTTTATCCGACCGAGTGTGTCACCGTGGGGTGCACCGGTCTTGTTCGCTAAGAAGAAAGATGGTTCTTTGAGGTTGTGCATTGATTACTGAAAGTTGAATCATGCCACCATCAAGAACAAGTATCCTTTACCAAGGATAGATGATTTATTTGATCAGTTGAGGGGAGCCAATTGTTCTTCGAAGATTGACTTGAGGCCAGGCTATTATCAGTTACGGGTTAGAGAGGAGGATATTCCAAAGACCGCGTTTCGTACGCAGTATGGACATTACGAGTTTCTTATTATGCCTTTTGGTTTAACCAATGCGCCGGCGACATTCATGGATTTAATGAACCGTGTCTTCCACGATTACTTGGATCAGTTTGTGGTAGTTTTTGTGGATGATATTCTTGTGTATTCACGGACTCGAGAAGAGCACGAGGTCTATTTGGGTATAGTGTTGCAGATTTTACGGGAGCACCGTTTGTACGTCAAGTATGAAAAGTGTGAGTTTTGGCTACAAGAGGTGAAATTTTTGGGACATGTTGTCTCGGAAGGTGGGGTTTCAGTTGATCCTTCAAAAATAGAGGCAGAGCAACCCAAGAATGTCTTTGAGATCCGGAGTTTCCTTGGCCTAGCGGGTTATTATCGGAGATTTGTGAAGGATTTTTCCCGTTTGGCAGCTCGTATGACCAGATTGACCAGGAAAGGGATCAAGTTTGCATGGAATGAGGCCTGTGAGTCATCCTTTCAAGAGTTGAAAACAAGGTTGACTACGGCTCCGGTGTTGGTGATACCTGAGCGTGGCTTGGGTTATGTGATCTATTGTGATGCCTCACGTGATGGTTTGGGTTGTGTACTGATGCAAGATGATAGAGTAGTGACTTATGGGTCTCGACAGTTGAAGACTCACGAGCTTAACTACCCTACTCATGACTTAGAGTTAGCGGCAGTTGTATTTGCTTTGAAGTGTTGGAGACACTATTTATATGGTGAGAGATTTGAGGTGTTCTAGGACCACAAGAGTCTCAAGTACCTTTTCTCCCAAAAGGACTTGAACAACAGATAGAGGCGATGGGTTGAATTCTTAGAAGACTATAACTTTGATTTGCAGTATCGTCCTGGCAAGGCAAATGTGGTAGCTGATGCTTTAAGCCGGAAATCTCGTGAGACTTTGGCTAGTTTAGCCATCTGGAAATGGAAAATGCTGAAAAATTTGGCTGAAATGGGATTGTATTGTTTTGATGATGATGACGATGGCAGTGAGTCAGCATTCTTGTTTAGTCTCGTGGCTCAACCCACTCTTGTTAGATGGGTGATTGAGTCACTGAGATAGGATTCAGATTTGGATGCCATTTACACTTTGATCTCCAGTGGCGAGATCGTGAAGGATTGGACCTTACATGCAGATGGAGGTCTACGGTTTAGGGGTTTGTTGGTTGTTCCTACAGTTTGTCGTGAGGACGTCTTACAGGAGTTTCATACTTCCCGCTTTGCAGTTTATCCGGGTGGTACCAAAATGTATCACAATCTAAGACGTCAGTATTGGTGGAGTGGAATGAAGAAGGATATTGCACAATTTGTGGCTAAGTGCCTTACCTGTCAGCAGGTGAAGGCCGAGCACCAGAGACTAGCTGGTTTATTGCAACCATTGCCGGTAGCGCAGTGGAAATGGGAGGAGATTGCCATGGATTTTGTGACAGGTCTTCCTAGGTCACGGAGGGGAAATGAAGCCGTATGGGTCATTATTGATAGGTTGACCAAGACTGCTCACTTTTTGCCTATTAAGGCAACAAATGATGCAGAGGCACTTGGTGTACTTTATGTGAAGGAGATTGTGAGATTGCACGGAGTTCCAGTGACTATTGTGTCGGATAGAGATGCCAAGTTCACCTCGAAGTTCTGGGAAGGACTTCAAGCAGCGTTTAGCTCAGCGTTGCACCTTAGCACGACATTCCATCCACAGACGGACGGCCAGTCGGAGTGTACTATCCAGATCTTGGAGGATATGCTTCGGGCCTGTGTACTTGACTTGGGTGGTAGTTGGGAGGATCACCTTCCACTTATTGAGTTTGCCTACAACAATAGTTATCAGGCAAGTATTCAGATGGCTTCATTTGAGGCGTTGTATGGTAGACCTTTTAGGTCTCCTGTCTGTTGGACTGAGGTGGGCGAGACAGTCGCCTTAGGACCCGACATTGTACTCGAGACTACCGAGAAAATTAAGTTAATTAGACAGAGGCTGCTCACGGCTCAGAGCAGACAGAAGAGCTATGCAGATAGGCGGAGGCGACCGTTATCTTTTGAGGTGGGAGATCACGTTTTTCTTCGGGTTTCTCCACGGAAAGGGTTAATGAGGTTCGAAAAGAGTGGCAAGTTGTCGCCACGATTCATTGGGCCTTTTGAGATCTTAGACCGTGTAGGAGAGGTTGCCTACAGATTTGCTTTGCCACCGCAGATGGACAAAGTTCATAATGTCTTTCATGTATCAATGCTACGGAAGTACGAGCCGGATCCGTCTCACATTTTGAGTTGGGTTGATGTAGACATTGATGAGGATATTTCTTACGAGGAGGGACCAGTTCAGATCCTTGACACATAGCAGAAGGTGTTGAGGAAAAAGACGATACCATTGGTAAAGGTTCTTTGGAGGCATCATGGAGTTGAGGAGGCTACTTGGGAGCTTGAACAGGAGGTTCGCTCCAAGTATCCAGAGTTGTTTTCTTCCTCAGGTATGACTTGATTTCGGGGACGAAGTCTTTTAAAGTTAGGAAGAATGTAATAGTTATGCTTATATATATGTATATGTATATATATTAAAGTTAAGATTTTTTTCAAAAATAGGTGGGCCCCACCAATAACTTAAAAACATGACTAAAGGCCATAAGGCCATTATGCAGACATATATTTCTCTCTTTCTCTCTCTACTTCCGGCCTTCTCTCGGCATCTCTTTTCTTTTTCTCTTTTTGTAATTTTAAGCTTTGATCTCATCTTCACCAATTGGATTTTGGTAGAACATTGTGAAGCAAAGTTGTTGAGCTCGTCGAGCCCGTTAATTTGATAGGAGCCAATCATCACTTGGTGCACTCTAGGGAGTTCAAAATTCTAGGGTTCTTGGGCTTGGATTTGGGGATTTTGGGAGTTTTCACTTCCATTGAGGTAGGGGTGTTCTAATATATAATTTCTTAGTTTTTTTGTGAATTTTTCCCCTTAAATTTGATCCTATGCATGCTAATTTTGATTATCTAGTTTGTGGTTGAAGTATGTTTAATTAAAATGCTAAATGTGTTCCATGTGTTATTTGAATTCATATATATAACTAGATTTATTACGGTGATTGAGCATGTTTGGTGTTGACATATTGTATGTCCTAAGATTATGTATTATTTATTTATTTATTTATTACTTTGAAAGAAAATGATGCTATGGTCAATAAATAAATAAAAGAAATGATTGCTTAGAAATTTCTATTAAATTGTGATAATGATATAAATGAAATGTGTGAGAGCCTATGGTTGAATTGATAAATCGAAACATGCACATTCATGCATTCATTGGGAAAGAAAGAAAAAAAAAAAAAAAAAAATATATATATATATATATATATATATATATATATATTTTTTTTTTTGAACAAACGAAATTATTTTGGGGAAGATATTTTTTAAAGGAGTTTGCGAAAACCGGACTCCTAGGAGGCGCCTAGTGGTCCGTGGTGTTAGTGTAGTCTAGAAGGGATCATGGTTGAGCTAACTAGGCCGGATGCGACGCCTTGGAGGTGCCTTGTGGTCGTGGATAGTTAGTCAACCCTCCATTCGTGACGCCTTGGAGGTGCCTTGGGTCTGATTACACTAACGGTTTTGGAAGTTGAAACGGAAATGTTTTGGAAAATGGGGAGTAACATTTGCATATTACACTTCATGACATTGTGGTTAACTTGTGATTGGGTGGTATTTGCTACATACTTGTTATTGTATTTGAGAGTGTGTGTTTCCTTATAGCATGATCCCTTTCACTTTTTATCTATTCATTGTATGGATTCACGGGGGTATAAGAGTGTGTCTTAGACACTTCCTACTGAGCTTATGCTCACCCCATTATTTCTAACATTTTTCAGGACATGGAAAAGAGGTGGCGGACGACGATCCACCACGATTTTAGACGAGCACGGAGACCTATTTCATTTTTTTTGCTATCTTTTGTATTAAAACTCTCTAATATTTTGTAAATGTAATATTAACTAACTCGTAAAACTTTAGTTTAATTAGTATAATGTTGTAAGCCATGGACTTTTAAATTCTAACTACGCTTTTCGGACTGTAACTTGATGTAACCAAAGTATGTTCCTTGTTGGATGAGATGGAGGAATGTGATTTTGTATGTATGTAGTCACTTTGGAGATGTGATATAATATATGTATATTGCGTTGGGACAGGATATGTAAGATTTAAGGCCCAGTGAGGCCATTGTATTTATTTTTTTTGTATTTCAACAGGTTGTTTAGAGACATTTTCTGCGGAGGTCATGCCGAAATTTTTATAGATTTTTATTATTATTTTGGTATCCTTTTGGGTCGTTACAACACGTGTCATCTCCTGATAAGGATAAAATCATAATTGGGTCGGGCCAGGTATATTATGACAATTTTCCTTGAAAACAATTATTCCAAATATATTTTATTAGGTTTTTTATTTAACCATCTGGGCTGGGCCAATTAAATAATTTAAGTGGAGCGAGTTTGAGCTAATTAAATAACTTAATTAAACATTAACCCATATTTAATTGGTCAATTTGTCAAAACAAAAGACCATAAAATTTTAGTGTCTACAAATTGCCCACACTTCGAGTCCCATGTTTGACAGGACTTGTATCCTTTTTCAAGTGGGACTTGAAGTATCCAACTTGGTCTTTGAACTGTAAAAGACTTTCCTATCCAACTTTGGATTATAAGATTCCTCTTTCCCTTTTCTATCCAACTTTGGATTAGAATTTTATTTTCATATTTGAACTAAATTATATAAATCCCAGTAAAAATAGGAGATATTTTGTTGCCTATATATACCTATCCATGCTATAGGGTTAGATATCAATTCAGAATACTTGTTAGATTGCAGCCTCTGAATAACTTTGCTTGCCCCGAGCAGATAATAAGTATGTCTCCTTACTTTTTTCTCTTCTTATTTTTTTTCACGCATCCTTTTTTTTCTTTCCTGTTTTTTTTTTTTTCATGCTTCTTTCTCTTTTCTTTTTTTTTTTTTTCCACGTTTTTTTTTTCACGCTTCTTTCTCTTTTCTTTTTTTTTTTTCCACGTTTTTTTTTTTCACGCTTCTTTGTTTCTTTTTTTTTTTTTTTTTCACACGGCTTTCCTTTTCTACTTTTTTTTTTCTTTCATTTTTTTTTTCTCCACGCTAGATTTTTTTTTCTTCGCTTGCTCGGATTTTTTTCACAACTTATGCTTTTTTTTTTTTACTGCCACCTAATCCGAGTACAAGAAGGAACTAGTGCAAGGAGACCCGGTTGTATAAGTTTCCATGCACCTGTTTGATGACAGAGTTTATTATTCTTTGTTTTTTTTTTCCTTTTGATGCATATTTGATCTACGTGAAAGACCTACTACAATAAACATCTCATCAATGCATACATGAACTTTCAAGCACCATTTATTTCTTCTCTGATTTTTTCTTTCAGCAATACCTTGACAATCCAGAATTTGTTACCGACTGTGTGAGGAGTTGACACACGAAGATTGCATGCCCATGCTTCCCATTGGTGATTTGTTTTTACTTCAGTAATATCTTGACAGTGAGCATAATTTTTTTCTTGATGCAATATTTCAATGAAAAGCTAAATTTCTCTTTCAGCAATGCTTCGGCGGCGAACAAATTTTTTTTTATTTAATGACACCTCAATGGAAAGCCAAATTTCTCTTTCAGCAATGCCTCGGCGGCGAGCAGAAATTTTTTTATTCAATGACATCTCAATGGAAAGCCAAATTTCTCTTTCAACAATACCTCAACAGAAAGCAGAATTTTTTCAACGATACCTCAACAGAAAGCGAAAGATCTTTTTCAGCAATACATCGGCGGTAAACAGATTTTTTTTTTTTTTTTTTTCTTCAACGACACCTCGACGATGAACCAGATTCTTCAACAACGCCTTAGCAGCAAGCTGAATTTATTTATTTCTTCCAGCCACACCTCGACGATGAACCAGATTCTGCAACGACACTCTGGTGGCAAGTTGAATTTATTTATTTCTTCCAGCCACACCTCGACGATAAATCAGATTCTTCAGTGACGCTTTGGCAGCAAGGCAAATTTATTTATTTCTTCCAGCCACACCTCAACGATGAACCAGATTCTTCAGCGATGCCTTGGTGGCAAGTAGAATTTTTTCTTGAACGACAATTCAACGAAAAGCCAAAGATCTTTTTCCTTTACAGTTGCAATTCTAATGATGAACCAAAATTATTGTCTGCAGCTACACTTTGACGGTGGGCCTAATTTCTTTCTTGCAGCTACAATTTGGTAACTGGCTAAAAATTTCTTTATAGATACAATTCGGCGGCGTGCCAAGTTGACAGGATGTGACGAACATTTTTGATATTGCATG